CAGTTTGCTGTTGATAACAGCTAAAGCCTTACACGATGAAACGAACAGATTCGCAAGCCAGGGCTGCGCAACTTGTGATCAGCTCCACAGCTACGGCCTTCAACATGTGGAATGGGAGCAGAAAAACCCTAAACCCAGTCTTTGCGGACTGGTTGGGTGCAGACATGTCTCCCTGTTGCACAGTCATCGCTCACCGAATCCAAGCTCTGCTGTTAAACCGCTACTGTTGCTGCTGCTGCTGCTGCTGCTGCTGCTGCTGCTGCTGCTGCTGCTGCTGCTGCTGCTGCTGCTGCTCCGGAGACGACGGCAATGCTGCTAGTTTATGTTTGTTGTCTGTTTTTGTATGTCCCCCGTTATGCTCTCAATGACGGCTACGTCAGCAACTTCTGTGCGACTCCACTCTTGCCTGCGCATTTGCTACGATGCGACAAGCAGCGCAAGCGACTACATCTCTCGTACCGGGTAGGACAGTCGCATCGGCTTGGGATTTGGAGTTTGGGAGTTCGCCTCGCAGGTCATGAACGAGTGGTACTACTCGAACCCGGACCCAGCCGACCCAACACAGGAGGCCAGACGGATGCTAGGGGAAGGGCACAAAGCCCTGGGAGGTAAACGGGTTGTTTAAAAACTCTGAAAATGTCCTGGTGGATCTAGGCATGGGCATTGTGTGTGTGTGTGTATGTGTGTTGTTGTTGCTGCACCTTGTGCGATGTGGCGGGCGCGCAGCCAGGAGATACAGACGCACACTCACGCACCAAGAGATATTAAGCAATTCATGAGCTTTGTTGGCAGTTGGTTTTCATCACGGTTGCTTTGTGCTTTGGGCCGACGCACCTAGTCCTCAATGCCAGCACACTGGGAAGGTCCGAAACGGTGCTGCGCGACTGCCGGTTTCGCGCTCAGCCAGCTGCCTGACACCTACGGTCCATGTGCCCAAATAGTATGTACATTGGCCCTAAAGGACTACATGAAGGCCGAAGTATATGCTATTTTGTGTACTTGGACCCTTAGGGAAACATAGCAGCCGGGAGGCCCTTGGGCAGATTCACCGGAATTCCTGGACGAATGAAAGCAAGCCTAAGCCCTGTATCTCGCATCTATCCTGGCAGACTTTGCGAAAAAGCTGAAGACATGCGATAAGACCAAGGTTTCGAAGAACCCGATGCCCCAACTTCTGAGTAGCTTCTGCTCCAAAACCCCAAACCCCAAGCCCTAAATCTCTGGTCGGCATCCAGTCCTTTTCGCTTCGGCTACGATCGCCGACCACCTTGGCCGCCCACTGAGTTCCAAGTCGGGTGCCACTTTTTTGGTATCTCATCCGACAATCCTCGGAATTTGGGTAGTAGCATTATGATGAGTTTCTGCTCTATCTTATTTTGGGGGGTTCCTGCTTATACCTATAGTATACTGGGGCCCAAAACCCTACTCTAATTATTGAGGCCCCTTCCGTAGGTCTGGAACAAAGTCCCTTGCCGCGTAGCCCGGGCATGGCGGGCTCCAGGTCGATTGGGCGACAACTTCGGACGAGTGCTGCATAGTGGTTCATGTAGGGGCCTTAATTAGAATAAGGTTTCGGGGTATATGATAAGGAGCCCCCAAAATAGTATAGGTAATTATTTATTTAGGCCCCTACATTACGAACGGTGGGCAGTTGTAGCATCCAATTCTGCCCATCCCGTGACTGGAGCATCCATGGCGGCCTAATGAATAATGGTCATGTCCAGATTCGTTCTCCTCGAAGGGGTCGTCCAGAACCACCCGCTCTCACTCCGCAAAAGGCCCACAGTGCCAGCGACATTCGACATGTTTGACTTCAGGTGCTTGTCCTGTGTCCCAGCAGCATCGCAGAGCCCATGTCGCCTTGGCCAAGGAGTTCGGTGACGAGATTCACATCATCTCCCCGTCCGACTTCTACCTGATAGATACCCAGGGGACCGATGTCATGACATCCACATGGGAAGGGGGCGGGAAGGGTTGTCTACGTCTTCTACGCAAGGGCAAAGTAGAGGCTCTTTAAGAAGACAGCCATCGGCACAGCTGAGAATTGACTCCTGAACACACAGCACTCCCAAGATGAGTTCTTGTTGGATGTAGGCTTGCCTGGTCGGTCCCGTGTCATTTTCCAGTACCTTGGCAGACACCTGTTTCTAGTTCCGTGTAGACAGGACGAGTCGACTGATTAAACCCAGCCAGTATTATAACTGTCGCTAGGTGCCCGAATGCATCTTCATATGCAAGGGGAAGGTATGCAGGCCGCATCCAAACATACGCACGTACATGGACCGTCCGTCCATCCATCCATCCAGCCATCCATCCATCCGCAGCGTGTATTTATGAAAATAGCTGGCGAACTCAAACGACACCAGTGGTTAGCAGCATGATATTGGGACCGTGCATACGTGTAGCACTTTGTGCGGGTGTCTAATTCCTCTTCTTCTATGTGTTGATCCTGTCTGTGTGAGCGTGTTCCTCAATTTATGTCATTGCTAGTACCGTTATGGCTCAAACTATTCCAGCCATGCTGATTTTGGCTGGTTTACTGGTAAACCTCGAACCACAGGATGCCTCCAAACCCTTAGACCCTAGACCGACATCATGCACATACCGAGAGTCATGGGCTCCTCTCTAGCACATGGAACAGAAGCCTGTTACCCTTGTCAAAACGAGGAAAAAAAGATAGAAACAGAAGCAATATCCGTGTGGAGTCCCCATGCTTGTTAATGTAGGTTACTTCATACAAAACCCCTTTCCAATTGGTATGGCCCCTACTTTAGCACTTTCGACATTGGTTGATTCTTCGGCTTTCCCCCTAACTAAACCCTGGACCCGAAGCCCCCAAACCCGAAACGCTACCCGAGCCGCCTTCGAGGAGATGTCGGGGCTTTCGCTGGATTGACCCGACTGCAGGTGCGTTTCCGCAGCGCTCATGGGTTTCTGGCGCTACTACCCATAGGCCCTCGCGTAGTTCCTTTTGGGGGTTCATATATAATATAGGATTCTATTATAGAATCCAATAAGGTCACCCCAAAAGGGACCTACTTTAGGGCCTATGGGTAACTGTTCCAGAAGGGCTCAGCAGGTTTCTACTGCTGTAAGTTGCAAGTCCAGGTTGGTCCCTAAACCCCTAAACCCTAAACCCCTAAACCCTAAACCTGGTAGGTTGGTCACAAGGACTTCTCCAGAGGATAAGGGCTGACGCTGCCTCCTGGGGTTTCGAGTCGGCTTGGTGTGTTGGACTCCGATCTTGGATCTACCCATAGGCCCTGAAGTAGTTCCTTTTTGGGGTTCATATATAGAATCCTAGACGGTAACCCCAAAAAGGAACTACTATGGGGCCTGTGGGTAAACTTGAGGTCTCTGCACGCTGCCGGGTTTGATGTACCAACTTTCAAGATAAGCCCGGAACGGATAGCCTTGGATCGAACCCCAGCGCTTCCATAGTCGAAGCTGCAATTCTGTGCTTCCGTAATTCGGGTTGATTGGATTTCGAAGGAAACCCCTAAACCCTGAACCCTAAACTCTGTAAGGGTTTGGTTAAGGGTTCTATGAGGGTTACTATTGGCCTGCCCGGGTGCTGACACCTCTCGCGCGACCCACTGTGTACGCGTTATTTCCAAAACCCTAAACCCTAATCCC